GAAGGAGCTGAAGATGTACGATCTCCTGTTATTATGAACAATTCTTTTCTCCAACGAAAACGTTTATTATGAACACTGCTACAAGAAAATGGATATTTTATTATGGATTCTTCAGCGAGGATACGGACATATTCGATAATGGACACGATGCGGACGTGCATGTGATATACGGATTATGGATATTATTTCGACTACTAAGACGGTGCATATTTTGGATTCGAAAATATTACATCGTGGACTAGATGCACGTATTACAGCATCGCATTGGATCCAGGACTAGATACGCGGATTATAAAATCGGAACTTATTATGGTTTATTATAACGACGTTTATCAACAGGAACTACGTATGAAGCAAGGATATTTGCACGAACTCTGCGTGGATATTTCATATGGATATTGGATATGGATATGGATTATACACGAACTATGTATGCGCCACTGTGTTAGTAAACATTCATATAGGACATTGTTAAAATATCATATACATTTATTTAGATTTTGCATATTTTCAGTTTTTTAGTACGTACAATGTCAGGAGAATTGTCATTTTATTTGGGTGGGGGTTGTATAGCATTTTTCATGTTGATTTACCGTATTGTGCTGCCATCTTTCAATGGGGTTCTTATAGGTTTTGTAGGGTAAGGGATTGCCTTTCATTTCCTATAACTTGGGGGTATTTAAGAGAAATTTTGGGCTTCATTCAGTAGAGAGTTAGATGGGGGGGAACATCACACATCATTTCTTTTCATCTTATTAATCTCATTTTCATTCTTTCTTTATCTTTGAACAGTTTTATTTTATACTGAAGAGTGTAATTGTACATGTTTAGTCTTTTACTTGGAATAAAGTATAGTTTTATGAGTATATTAATTCTGTGTTAATCTTGTCTTTTTTACATTACAAGACCAATCCATATTATTTTATGAAGAACCCACAGAGCTATTTAAACAACAAAGCTCGAAGCTTCAATAGGATTATGAGTTGCCTTTATCCAGAATTTTTTGAAATAATAAGAATCAAGGTTGATAATGGTTCAAGACATTTTATGACCATCATTGATAAATAACTAAATCATTTCCATATTTGGATTCAAAAATGTTAAAACAGATACAAGGCGCTAGAGAATATTTTGACATCTGTATCTGTATGTATATTTACGGAACAAAATATCATCTTTATTAGTTTTTCTATATCTTTAATAGTATACAATGCACAGAACAGTTTATTGTCAGAAATCTAATATATACAGTGTTTTCCTGTTTCAAAGTTCCCGCTTTGAAAGTGACAAAGTTCAAAATGTAGTAACAAGGCATTAACATGACAAAATGTCACCACCTAGTTGCTCACAATATTATGAGTTCAAACTTAAGTCAGATTTGAATTTCTGAGAACTTGTAAAGTCAAATTTGAACTTCTGAAAAGATGAAGATGATTTTGAAAAAAAAATTTGGTCAATTTGAAGCAAGTTGAAAACAGACCTTTTTGACCTTTTTTGACCTTGAGAAGGTCATTAAAGGTCAAATGTCAAATCTAAAGTCAGATTTGAATTTCTGAGAACATGTAGATGATTTTGAAAAAAAAAATTAGTCAATTTGAAGCAAGTTGAAAAAAGACCTTTTTGACCTTTTTTGACCTTGACAAGGTCATTGAAGGTCAAATGTCAAATCTAAAGTCATATTTGAATTTCTGAGAACATGTAGATGATTTTGAAAAAAAATTTAGTCAATTTGAAGCAAGATGAAAAAATACCTTTTTGACCTTTTTTGACATTGAGAAGGTCATTGAAGGTCAAATGTCAAATCTAAAGTCAGATTTGAATTTCTGAGAACATGTAGATGATTTTGAAAAAAAAAATTAGTCAATTTGAAGCAAGTTGAAAAAAGACCTTTTTGACCTTTTTTGACCTTGACAAGGTCATTGAAGGTCAAATGTCAAATCTAAAGACATTATTGAATTTCTGAGAACATGTAGATGATTTTGAAAAAAAATTTAGTCAATTTGAAGCAAGATGAAAAAATACCTTTTTGACCTTTTTTGACATTGAGAAGGTCATTGAAGGTCAAATGTCAAATCTAAAGTCAGATTTGAATTTCTGAGAACATGTAGATGATTTTGAAAAAAAATTTAGTCAATTTGAAGCAAGTTGAAAAAAGACCTTTTTGACCTTTTTTGACTTTGAGAAGGTCATTGAAGGTCAAATGTCAAATCTTAAGTCAAATCTAAAGTCAGATTTGAATTTCTGAGAACATGTAGATGATTTTGAAAAAAAAATTTAGTCAATTTGAAGCAAGTTGAAAACAGACCTTTTTGACCTTTTTTGACCTTGAGAAGGTCATTGAAGGTCAAATGTCAAATCTTAAGTCAGATTTGAATTTCTGAGAACACGTAGATGATTTTGAAAAAAAAATTTAGTCAATTTGAAGCAAGTTGAAAACAGACCTTTTTGACCTTTTTTGACCTTGAGAAGGTCATTGAAGGTCAAATGTCAAATCTAAAGTCAGATTTGAATTTCTGAGAACATGTAGATGATTTTGAAAAAAAAATTTAGTCAATTTGAAGCAAGTTGAAAAAAGACCTTTTTGACCTTTTTTGACTTTGAGAAGGTCATTGAAGGTCAAATGTCAAATCTTAAGTCAAATCGAAAGTCAGATTTGAATTTCTGAGAACATGTAGATGATTTTGAAAATTTTTTTTAGTCAATTTGAAGCAAGTTGAAAACAGACCTTTTTGACCTTTTTTGACCTTGAGAAGGTCATTGAAGGTCAAATGTCAAATCTTAAGTCAGATTTGAATTTCTGAGAACACGTAGATGATTTTGAAAAAAAAATTTAGTCAATTTGAAGCAAGTTGAAAACAGACATTTTTGACCTTTTTTGACCTTGAGAAGGTCATTGAAGGTCAAATGTCAAATCTTAAGTCAAATCTTAACTCAGATTTGAATTTCTGAGAACACTTAGATGATTTTGAAAAAAAAATTTAGTCAATTTGAAGCAAGTTGAAAACAGACCTTTTTGACCTTTTTTGACCTTGAGAAGGTCATTGAAGGTCAAATGTCAAATCTAAAGTCAGATTTGAAGGTCAAATGTCAAATCTTAAGTCAGATTTGAATTTCTGAGAACATGTAGATGATTTTGAAAAAAAATTTAGTCAATGTGAAGCAAGTTGAAAAAAGACCTTTTTGACCTTGAGAAGGTCATTGAAGGTCAAATGTCAAATCTAAAGTCAGATTTGAACTTCTGAGAACATGTAGATGATTTAGAAAAAAAATTGAAGTCAGTCTAAACAGTATTTGTTAAGTTATAGGAAGTTGTAAGAAATTGTTACAGACGCCAACCGCCGGACGCCAACCACCAACCACCAACCGCCGGACGCCGTCGCAAAAAAACGGAGACCATAACAATATGTCACCACTTTTGGTGACCTTTTTGACCTTTTTTGACCTTGAGAAGGTCATTGAAGGTCAAATGTCAAATCTTAAGTCAGATTTGAATTTCTGAGAACACGTAGATGATTTTGAAAAAAAAATTTAGTCAATTTGAAGCAAGTTGAAAACAGACCTTTTTGACCTTTTTTGACCTTGAGAAGGTCATTGAAGGTCAAATGTCAAATCTAAAGTCAGATTTGAATTTCTGAGAACATGTAGATGATTTTGAAAAAAAAATTTAGTCAATTTGAAGCAAGTTGAAAAAAGACCTTTTTGACCTTTTTTGACTTTGAGAAGGTCATTGAAGGTCAAATGTCAAATCTTAAGTCAAATCGAAAGTCAGATTTGAATTTCTGAGAACATGTAGATGATTTTGAAAATTTTTTTTAGTCAATTTGAAGCAAGTTGAAAACAGACCTTTTTGACCTTTTTTGACCTTGAGAAGGTCATTGAAGGTCAAATGTCAAATCTTAAGTCAGATTTGAATTTCTGAGAACACGTAGATGATTTTGAAAAAAAAATTTAGTCAATTTGAAGCAAGTTGAAAACAGACATTTTTGACCTTTTTTGACCTTGAGAAGGTCATTGAAGGTCAAATGTCAAATCTTAAGTCAAATCTTAACTCAGATTTGAATTTCTGAGAACACTTAGATGATTTTGAAAAAAAAATTTAGTCAATTTGAAGCAAGTTGAAAACAGACCTTTTTGACCTTTTTTGACCTTGAGAAGGTCATTGAAGGTCAAATGTCAAATCTAAAGTCAGATTTGAAGGTCAAATGTCAAATCTTAAGTCAGATTTGAATTTCTGAGAACATGTAGATGATTTTGAAAAAAAATTTAGTCAATGTGAAGCAAGTTGAAAAAAGACCTTTTTGACCTTGAGAAGGTCATTGAAGGTCAAATGTCAAATCTAAAGTCAGATTTGAACTTCTGAGAACATGTAGATGATTTAGAAAAAAAATTGAAGTCAGTCTAAACAGTATTTGTTAAGTTATAGGAAGTTGTAAGAAATTGTTACAGACGCCAACCGCCGGACGCCAACCACCAACCGCCGGACGCCGTCGCAAAAAAACGGAGACCATAACAATATGTCACCACTTTTGGTGGTGACATAATAAGACAGCAACAATTACAAGTACATCCGGACATAAAGAACAACCAATCTGTGTGCATCCCAAACATATCCAAAATACAATTTGCAAAGAAACATACCCTCTGTCCATGATTCAGCCATTTTTAATTATCACAATACAACATGTGACTTAAGACCATACTCATGAGATATTTGATTTATAATATTAATGAAGTCATATTACCTTTGCTCAAAAAAATGAAAATCTCAAAATTGAATAAGATTGGTGCATTGGTCTGATCTACATATAAAACAATATATTAGCAGGACTGAATCCTGGTTACAGGCACGGAAGTATGACAGGCTTTGCAGTTAAACAATCCCCTCTCGCTACACAAATTACGTCGAAGCATCTTAAGATCTCTCAGTAGAGAAGAGTAATCCAAAACAACAATTGTCATAAAACTTATGATCATCAGAGATATGGCGATGTACCCCATACCTTGCGCTGAAGGGCGGTCATCTGAGTTATAATAGATTTTTTCTGTAACTACATTAATTGTGGACTTTGGAGGAGCTGCGTTTGTAATGTCATCAGCGGTTGTAGTAGCCTGTGTTGTGATAGAATTGTACAATGTTGATATATCTGTATCGGTATTTTGATTGGTCGTACTTGTATTGCCAACTGTAATTCTGGTACTCGATGGTACCGATGTTGGGTGCTGTTCAGTACTTGTATCATAAGCATATGTGGTTGTCTCAATTGTAGGAACTGTATCACTTAAATTGACTGATAATGTACTCGCCTCTTCGCTGGGAAGATCAATGGAAGTGTTTCCCTCTGTAGATTCAGTAGTATTTGTGGTAACCTGATTAGTGGTTGTCGCAACAGTAGTATCTTCCAGTGTATGTGCTGTTATAGTAGGTACTGTAGTTTTAGATTCATGTGTTGTAGGTGCTGTTATAGTAGGTGCTGTAGTTGTAGGTTCATGTGTTGTAGGTGATATCGTTGAAGCTGCTGTTGTTGAAGGTGCTGTCGTTGTGGCTGCTGTTGTTGATAAAATAGAAGTTGACTCCAGAGTTGAAACTGACTCAGTTGTTGGATTTGTCACATCTGTTTCTAAAATGAAAAGAATAAAACATGTTCGCAACAGTTCTTGTTTAGCAATCAGACTAAACAGCCCAGCCCCCCAATTATTTTAATCAGCCGACTTAATTCAACGAGACCACCAGATAGTCCAAGAATTGTTCATTTGGTATAGTTTTAATTGGTATAAATGTAGTTATATTCTTCCTCATTTATATACTGTTTGGGAGTGTCCCCAGAGCAAAGAAAAACGCTCCACATGACAAGTTTTCTTAAAAAACTTTGACTTTTCATAACGCAGTAATATTTTTCCTCGATGCATCTAGATATTCTTCCTTTTTTCTCTTCATGGAAATATCGGAGATAAAGATGATAGCAGTTTTCTATAAACTTGATCGGACCTAGTATCCTAGTATTCCTCAAGAATTTCGGCTTTGTAAAAAGTCTAAAAAGTAACACCATTTATATGTATTGTAAAAATAACACTTTCTAATCAAAGAGGCAATTTCAAAACTTGTTTTGAAGATACACACTTACGTGGGCATGTTTTGTTATAAAAACTGCAACAGTTGTCACTAATAGTGTCTCCATTATAAGACGTCTGCATAATACACTGGCTACTGCTTAATATAAAGTATATAGATTTGCAACTGCTGTTTCTGAGGCAGTAGTCCCTACACTCCAGCTCTGAGTTCAACGTTCCGATGGTAACACTTGCTCCACCGATGTATGCATCCGTTGAACGGACTGTGTAGCATAAATCTAAATGACAAAGGTAAAAAACAGAGAATGTATTAGTATGTCAATTGGACACCCGAAAAAGGCAACATGTAGATCTTAAAGATCTGCACAATGTTCTTGCCATTCTCAGTAAAAAAACAAAAGCCAGCCATTTTGATTTTTTTAATTTTTCTACTGACAAAATGAATGCACATGTTTTCCCAAGTGCCAAAAAGCAAATATTTCGACTTACTCAGAACAGCCGTGATTGCATGAATCCTACCTACTATTTAAATCAATTTTACTTGGATTGGATGACATATGCAAACAAATAATAAGATACTGTATAGATTTTTCTCGCTTGAATAACATTTTTCATATTGACTTTGAGTTGCTTTTTAATGGTATTGCCATCCGGAGGCATCAACACATAAAGTACCGATAAAGTGAATACATCGCCTACTTTTTTACTTAAAGTTAGAAAAAGATGTTCCAAATTGTGATGCATAGGTGAATCAGGATTACATGAAATAATTGGTTCATTTGTGAGAGTGAATGGGCATCCGTCTTGAAGAGTTCATATTATATGTCTGTGATAGATGAACTTAGATGAAAAATAGTTTATTCTCGCACAAACGGATAGTAATACAATCTGCTTTACCTGTATGTACATATTTACACATGTAGAGATGACTTTCAGAACAAGCAATGTCTTCCCACTTATAAAAGTTATACGATTTGAATGTAATGACACACGCGTCAGCCACATTGTCTGGTTGCCCTGATAACCAATGCCCGGATGCAATTGTGTACATGGTGTCATCTGACCACCGGATATCGGATGTGGGGTCCGAGACGAAACGCCTTGCACCAAAGTACACTTTATCATAGCTGAAAACAAATAAGAATGATCTGATAATTACCAATAAATGCCAAAGGGCTGGATGGGATTGTTGCTGTAAATATTAGTAATTAGTATGAAATTGCCTGCTCCGTAATCAGAGACGAAGTTTATAGACACAGCATTTCCTGGCCCCATTGGTATGAAGGTGCTCACGATTCATCGTAAATACACATATGAGACTGACATAGTTACAACCTTCAATATGCAAAATGTTAATAACATATTATATATTTTTCATATTTGATAATCAATTTTCATTTTAAACTGTCCGATAAACAGTTTACGTAAATGCTATTCAATATGTTGATGTTTTTAAAACAATGAAATACGAGTATGCAATAACCAAGGCACAAACTGACACCATCTAGTAAGAAATTAAAAATGGTTACAAAAAACGAACGTGTGTCACAAAAGACGGTGGCTATACAGTGTCTTAAACCGGTGTTAAAGAAATTATGGTCCCCCAGTGATTATGGTCCCCCCCCCCCCTTTAAAGGCCCTTTCTGGTCATGATTGTGTATAAAATAATGAGGGAAAGAGTTGTATTTAGATCACCATTGAAATCAATGGAGAGTAGGACCATAATTTGATAGGACCTCCTACCCTTTTACACCGGGACATAAAAATACAATATCCTCGTCTTAGGCATTTATCATTTCCCAAATTATTGCTTACTTTTCAGTGAAAATAGTCTGAGGAATTTGAGCAACTAGTCGAGCAGAATCAAAGTTGAGTTGAGCCAGGATCCCACCATTCTCTTCGCAGGTTTCATTTGCTGCTGCCCAGCTCGTGGCAGGCGTCTGTGGCACGTGGTAGCACCATCGGACTTGCGTTGTGTCGTAAGTGAACGGAGTTTTTGCCATAGCTACAAACGATAGACACAAGGTCAAGGGCATACATAATGTTCATCTCTCCAACATTTAAAAAGAGAAACATCAAAGTATGTATCAAACTTTTCAAAATAACTAATTAATTCAAAATCATGTATAATTTGCTACATGTACACGATGAAGATAGTCCATGGTGCTGTTGATTTGGAATGATTTGGATTCATGAATGTGAGGAATCTCCGAATCATACTTTTTTGTTTATATGCATAAGAACATAGTTTAGGATGTAACGGGTTTGTTTTTTGTTTAGATGGTTGTCCTAATAAGATGTTCCTTTTTACTGCGTTTTGTGGGATCCTCCGAAAAAGATCACCGGTACAGTTGGCAAAATGTTTCACTTACTATATTTATCATACGTGTAGTCATAGAAACCTGACGTTACCAGCGCCGCATCATCACATGAAGTTGTATGCAGGGTGCATAGCATGAGGTCAATGTTGTAGGTAATCGTCGTGCAGGACGTGTCAGCGCTGCACTGGTCGGCACACACAAATAATGTGCTGTTAAATGGGCCGGATAGAATTGTAGCGGAAGGGCATTTACCCCAACGCATAGAATACCCGTCAATCACTGAAATATTAACAACAATTAGGCAGTTAAAACATGTAATCATTGGAGTGGTCATAAAGAAAGTGGAACAATCATCTCTGTTTTGTAACGGTGTACTAAGAATAAAATAAACCGTTAACGGACAGGACAGTTTTTCCTTTTTGGGTGCAAGCAATTTCCTTTCCTATTTGGATTAAATATTTTCTTTCATTTTGAAATGTAAAGAATGAATACAAATTGCTGTTAAACGTTAAACAGAAAGCCTGCAGCTTAGTCATTTTAAATTACGTTAGAAACAGGTGTAATTGGCTTCCAGCAGGCCTAGCTACATCTTTCATAAAAACGGTGAAGTTAGCATCAATGACGTCAATGCCTCAAATGTGTACAAAAAGGTTTTTAATTGAGCATTCTAAGCAGCTAGAGTTATTTTTATTATAGAAGGATAAAGCCGTGTGTGCATTTATAGACCAATTAGAGTATATCACATTGTTTATGGATAACAACCGGAGAAACCACCCACTTATAACAAGTGTCAGCGTTCTCTGTGGGTAAAAATATATATAAATGTTATAAAATAATCCGAAATAAAACTAGAGAATTTATTCCAACATGTTTCTTTATTCAAAATCGTCAGGGAATGTTTAACATAGGAATCGTGAAATTAATGATAATATAAAACAAAATGTTGAGATTTTTGTTTTTAACACTTTTAAACATGTAATAATATAAAAATAAAATAAATATATAGATAATAATAATAATAATATTATAGGAACATCTTATGATTTCGAAAAAATATCATTTGTATCCATGAGTGGATATTGATATCTTCACGAGTGAGCGCAGCAGTGAAAAAGATCTAAACCATCGAATATCACTTTTGAAACCATCGATTATCCTACACTTATTGTACTAAATGTAATTAACATCAAAAAATAAATGTGATATTTATTGGGAAAATGAATAACCGGAGGATATTGTGATGATATACTCCGGGCGGAGGATATCGTGACGATATACTCCGGAAAACCCAATATGCGGAGGATATTGTGACAATATACTCCGCTTGTTTATTTCCCGCCAAATTGACTCTATTTGGCATGATATTCATTTTGCATTGATATTATACATTTGTACACTCCTTGTAAGTGAAGGATAATAAGAACATCCTATGATTTTTTTCAGAATATCATTTTAATCTACTCGGTGATATTGATATATTCGCTTTGCTCTCTCGTGCAGATATCAATATCACCTCGTAGATAAAAAATGATATTCCTCAAAATCATAGGATATCCTATAAATATCACTTTTTGAGAAGTGATACTCGATGGTTTGAGAAGTGATATTCGATGCTTTCGGGATATTTTGCTAAAATATGATATCTTGATCCACATATCAAATGTATCTTCACCTGATATCCGATCTATATCCTTTGAACCATGGGATAAACATGTTTATCCTATGCCAAGTAGAGTTTTAGGGAGATAAGTTGGCAAGATATATCCCGTATCCTGATTTTGAGGTTTCCATATCCTGAACCTCCATATCCCCCGCCATATCTCCCGCTCCAGGGCATATCTGCCCGCTTCGAAAAAAAATTGAAAATAAGAAAAAATGTGAAAAAATTAAAAATTGAAAAAAAGAAAAAAAAGAAAAAATAGAAAAAATTTGAAAAATGGTAAAAATAAAAAATATTTAAAAAATTGAAAGAAAATTAGAAAACTCTACTTGGTATAGGATAAAGCAGTTATGTACGGTCGGTTTGGATATTGGGTTCATCCTTCGTGAGATATGCACATCTACCTTCGGTCCCTACGGTCCCTCAGGTAGAGATGCATATCTCCCTCTGGATAAACCCCATATCCAAAACCTCCCAGTACATAACCCTTATATATATATTTAGAGACGTACCTTTCCAATACTCTGGAAGACAATTGCAGTTAGGATCTGACTCAGACACTGTTGAACCACAATCTTGTGCGATACCAAAGTCTAAAACAAATACTAAATGAGAACATTGGTGCATCCATGTTCATATAGAGTCCATAGTATTAATTGAATCAGAAGGCATGAACAGTTTGAACGTTTTGAATGAGTAGACGCTGGACTGAACTTTAGTCCTTGATCTTTAGGAAACGAGTTTGTTGTCCGGGTGCCCACCACAAAAATCAACTACTGCATAGTGATCCTACATACAGGGTGTCCAAAAAAACAGGACCGTAAGAAAGTTGAATAACTCGGTCAATTTTGCATATTTTGCCTTGAAATTTCAGAATTATTTAGTTCATTCAATGAACTACAGCTCCTTACAAAACATGCCCCAAATGTGTAAATCTCATCTCTATGCACAATTCAATCCGGCGAACAAAGCTGTTGATGATCCTCCTACACACATGTCTTTCTGAATGGACAAGTTTGTTCCAAGAACAATTGCTACTGGAGTTTACATCCTCCCGGTGAAATGTTACAGCATCCATTGCATTCTGAACAATGCATTGCCTGGGTGGCAATGAGGAAACATGGAATCATCAGTCCCTTTTGGTTCGAAGGTGACTTGGGACTTGCTATCAGCATGAACAAGGACCAGTAAGTTCTCACCAAGTTTTGGAGGTCACTAAGCACCAGAAGGGACATCTAAGGAGATAATTAAGCAGTGGTTTCAACAAACCAATACCACCTCAACACTGCAAATGATATGCTGAAATGGTTTAGGCAATGCGTTGGTGGTCAGCTCATCAGTTGCAGAATGCAAACCATATGGGCAGCTCATTTGCCTGATCTTAATCCCCCAAATTTTTATCTTTGAGGATTTCTCAGAGCCAATGTGTACACTGACAGGCCCCTAACAATCTTCAGAGCTCAATAACTACCCCAATATTTACCATCCACATTAATGTGTATAGGTCAGGGTCATTAACAACTTTGTTCGCAGAATTCGTTTGTGCATAGAGAGGAGAAGTGACCACTTTGGGCATGTTTTGTAAAGGACTGTAGTTTTTGACACAATAAACAGATTATCATCAAACTTTCAGAACAAAATTCTCATTGAATGAACTAAATAATTCTTAAATTTCAAGGCAAAATATGCAAAATTGACCGAGTTATTCAACTTTCTTACGGTCCTGTTTTTTGGACACCCTGTATGCTCTACACTGGGGTGTGTTACATTTTTCACACAAAATGAGGATTGGAGCAAGGATGTAAATGGGGATATGCACTATTGACTTAACTTGGGGATATCATCATATTTCTAAGCCATCATAGATATTTATTTAGGTAACGTTTTGTCACCCTGTACCTTTTATACATGTCACATTACCCCTTTTCAAGCATGAGACAACTTGTTTCATATAACTTAAAATGTATTGCGTCGTGCGGATTTTCTACAATTGAAGACGTCTGAATCCTAAGGGAACCATCTTTTTGACATTTTCTACATTCTCTTATTCTACATTCTCTTATCAATCAAAAATACTTAATCTTTATCAAAATCAATTACCCAAATGCGAGTAGGTAGTTACCAGTTTCACCACCAGGTGGCTGATTCGGGTCAATTAACATGGCAGAAGAAAGTTCCCTTAAACTTGAATATTATCAATTTAAGTGGCTCAATTTTCATATAACCCTTATGTGTCTGATACTTATACTAATGAAAATATGTCCAGTAAAGCAAAATATTATCTGTCCACTAAAAGAAAAGGTATTTCATTTTTTGTGATTTTATAGCATGGGGTCTATGGGGAATCTCCCCGAGCTAGAAGTCACATTTTCAAAGAAAATTAATTTTTCAAAGTTGATAAACACTTTTTAAAACCACATTTCTAGATGTAATTTTACATGTAGATTTCAAATATGATATTACTTTGACTTAATTTTGAATTTTTAATGACGTAAATCAAGATTATTTCTACTCGCATCTGGGTTATTGACATCATACTTATGAAATGCAGTTATGTGGTAAAAAGTAAAAAAATATATATACAAAAAGTTGTTTTAAATGGCAACCCTGTGTGATCCCTTCTAAGAGGCAAGGGCCCCTGTTACAATCAAAACTAAATATATATTTTCTTAATGAGGGAAGTCAGTACTTTGAAACGGTATGCTCATTTTTGTGGAATACCGGAACGGAACGGACAACGACACTTTGAATTCATTTTTGGGAGCATGCTAGGGACTACTTGTGTATTTTGCTACGTCTATAATTAAGCAATCTTGAAACAACTGCAATTTTACTTTTCCGATATATTTGATTGTTTTGAGTCTTCCTAGTCCAAGCATGGCCTAGACGCGTTTCAACAAAAATAAATACTTTTTTTCTCGAAAGCTCAAGAGAAAATTAAACATGGAGAGTTCTGGACTTAAGTATTTGACACATTAAACTGTACACTTTTTCAAAAGCTTTAACAATCATTATGTACAATGACTTGCAGTTCAGTAAATGGTCGGTTCAAAAGTAAAATAATACGGTATCACTCACAATGCCAAGCAAAGCTATCATAAGCTGCTCTAGATGCAATAATTAATGGCACTCGTCAGGGCTCTATTGTAGGACCAATAATGTTCATTATTTAACACAATGTTTTAATTCCAGAAAGTAATATTTGAATGTCTTTATTTATTTCAAATGCAGATTTCTAAAACTATGAATTATACGACGACGCAAATGGCATTCCCTGCATTTATTTTTTGTTATTATCGATCATTCATTGAAAAGTGGTAACTTTTGGTATGGGAGTCGAGTACAACTGCAGCAATGTCGGAGGTTTATTCTGTATATAAGGTGTGGGTGAAATGATTAAATCGAATCGATTAATATGCTACAATGTCCTTATACATACAGTATACCTTTATGTGTGCCTAGATGTGTTTTGGTTGGTATATGTGACGGTGTAACTTTATAATTTGCTTTGCAAAGTGGCTTTCCAGTTAATTGATTGTCCCGATCGAAGTGTTATTGTTTCTTGCATAAAAGATTAAAGGAAGCGCTCAAATGTGCCGCTACTTGCAATCAGGAAATCAGAATGAAATATAGAACTATGTAACATGTAAAATGATTATGCCTTATAATTGTGTCTGGCCTTTGGTGATGAAAATATCCTATTACTATTTGGTTTTCATAAACAGATCGAACGGTGGAATTCATTTTATTTGTTATATTATTTCATTGTATTGTCTAATCTGAGATTAGATTCTTAAACAAAATACGTATGTGTAATAGGATAAAAAGTTCTTGGACAGACCTTGGGATAAAATGTCTGTCTCCGATAATTGAAAATCGCAACACCTGAAAATTCACGTGGGGGCAAAATATGTCACAAAACGTTTAAATATTGCTTATTAAACCACTACCACGTTCAGTAGATGAAGCAGTTGCCATATTACTGATTAGATGGCATGTCAAAATACATTCATTATGAAATAAGACTGATTGCTGAATATGTCTAAATTACTATTTTAGTTGTGCTTTAAGTGCATTCCATTACATAGTAACGTCTGATATTTTGAAGCTGGTGGAGAATGTCACTGCAGTTATTTCATTAAATGTGTTTATTCAACAGGGACATATTGATACTTTTTTCATCAAGCCGATTTCAGAATTCATTTGATGCCATGAAAGTCGATGTACTTGAAGATAGTTTTTCTTCTTGTCAACAATGCAAATTAAGTGTACCGGTATGTTATGCTTAAGATTGCCGCCAAGGTTATTTTTTAAAAACATTTTTGGAACTATCTTTCCAAAGTCACCGTTTCCTAGTCTTTTTGTATCAAAAAGTGATATACTCGTTTATCCTATGCCAAGTAGAGTTTTAGGGAGATAAATTGGTAAGATATATCCCGTATCCTGATTTTGAGGTTTCCATATCCAGAACCTCCATATCTCCCGCCATATCTCCCGCTTCGGTGCATATCTTCCCGCTTCGGGTAAGTAGTGGAAATGCAATAAAATGACTTTGCATATGAATGATATGTTTATTTTTACACCTTGTACTATTGAAATGGCCATATGCCCCTGAAAACTCTACTTGGTATAGGATAAAGCAGTTATGTACGGTCGGTTTGGATATTGGGTTCATCCCTCGTGAGATATGCACATCTACATTCGGTCCCTACGGTCCCTTAGGTAGATATGCATATCTCCCTCTGGATAAACCCCATATCCAAAACCTCCCAGTACATAACCCTTATATATCCAACAATTTGAAAGTTAATGAATATCTAAGTTGAAAAATTCCCTAAAGGGCTGGTTGTGGTTAGGCGCATTAATGCACCTCTGGGCCTTTATTTATATATCGAGATTTGTCACTGAACCAGAATTGCATTTGCTGCAATATTAAAAATACGGCTGTTGACAGTCCGAAAAACTCCAAATTTGGAGTTTTTGCTCTCTTAGAAATGATTGCATCATCACGTTCACAAAGCGATTGTCAAACTTTGAACAAGAACAAAGCGATCATTTATTGGTGGTAAATAAAACAAAATACAATGTCAGTATTGTCGGCTTTTCCAAACTATTGCCAGATAGGTTTATCAAGAAGTAATAAAAACAGGGAATAAACAGGGAATTGAATTGATATTCAAAATAGCCTGTATCAGAACTATCCCCTGGCATTTCTCTTGATTTTTACATTCTTCGTTTTATTTTAAACCTTGTTAATAAAAGGTGAAAATGTAATATAATACATCAAATTGTATCATTCTATGTCGCCATGGTGATGACAAATCAAACCTCAAAATGAATAAGTTTAGAAAGAAATATTGTGGAATTAAATAGGTAAATTTTTCCTCGAGAAGATATGATATTGGCCTCGGTCAATATGATATTATTCTTGGCCAATACCATATCTTCCCTCGGAATAAAAATCATATTCCATCCCTTACATTGAATAAACTTGGGCAACTAGTGACCTTTATAAGCTATGGGATACTTTAAAGAATTCTTTCTAGAGACTAGCGTCGGTTAATCTTATTATATCTTCAAAAGAATATTAAAC